GTCTCTTGTGGAAAGAAAGAGACAAGTGGAATTGTAAAATTCATCCACAGAGGCAACAGCCTTTGACGAGTTGTCTTTGGAGATGGGAGGTCACGTTCCAATGACCATTGTGGATTCTGGCTGTTGTGCCATCTGACTGCCGAAGATGTCTGTTTGATGGGCTTTTATGCGCTTTTCTTAGGTTCAGATTGGCTCCAATTTTTATTTTGTTTCTTTAGGCAGGAGTGGGTGCTATTGGGTGGAAATTCTAGATTGTATTTTTCTTTGAGTGTGGAAGTAAAATGGAAGGTATGTGCAGAGCTGATGCGCAGTTGACAGAATTTTTAGTTCAGTCTTGGGTTTCGAAGCTTTTACATCTGACTAGTGGTGGAAATTTGTGTAACATGAATCAGAAGAAGATCTAGTTTTAAGAAGATTATAACACTTACCTCACCACAGTGGTTGAATGTGATACAAGGTTGATTGATTGACTGTGTTTAACAGCCCATTAAGTTCTTGTGGGTCATTTAAAGCCAAACTGATTGTGTTGTAAACATATTTTATAGTTGGTCAAGTATGGATGGGAATAAGTTTCCTAATTATGGTGTAGAAGAAGTTTTGCTGTTTGTCAGGTATGGTTGAAAACAAGTTTTACTGTTTATCAGGTATGGTTGAAAACAAGTTTTACTATTTGTCAGGTATGGTTGAAAACAAGTTTTGCTGTCTATCAGGTATGTTTGAAAACAAGTTTTGCTGTCTGTCAGGTATGGTTGAAAACAAGTTTTACTGTTTGTCAGGTATGGTTGAAAACAAGTTTTACTGTTTGTCAGGTATGGTTGAAAACAAGTTTTACTGTTTGTCAGGTATGGTTGAAAACAAGTTTTGCTGTTTGTCAGGTATGGTTGAAAACAAGTTTTACTGTTTGTCAGGTATGGTTGAAAACAAGTTTTACTGTTTGTCAGGTATGGTTGAAAACAAGTTTTGCTGTTTGTCAAGAATGATTGAAGGTAAGTTTTTTGTTTGTGTAAACAGTTATAAACATTTTTTATATTCTATTGTAAAGACCAATCTATTAGACAAACTGCAGTATGTTATCTGGTTTAATGTTTTCAAAAAGATTGTTCATTCTGTAATACTTGTTTCGGATTTACTGGAAAATGCAACATTCCAACAGTATGTGCCTGACCATATATGACTCTTGACATGGTACACATTTTGGTGGGATTTCATTTCTCCATAAATATCTGAGTAACATGTATGTCCAATACAGAATCTAATGAAAACCACCTCCTCTCTTCTTATCTTTCGGTAGCCAGAGAAACATTCACCAATGATTGGCTGAATATTGTGTAATTTATTATTATGACAGTTATTCCATAACTTTTGCCATTTTTCTTTAATAATCTTATTAATGATTGGTCAGAGATCATTGTATGGAATTTTGTATTTGAATTCCATATTTAATGACATCTTTGCTGCTTTGTTAGCCTTTTTGTTTCCCTGAATGCCGATGCAGGTTGGTTTAATGTCAGATGCCAATATGCAGATACATAGGCCAAGGAGGGGCACCTCAGCGTGGCGTAATGGTTAGAAAGCTTGTCTTGCTAGATCAATTACAACTGAGTAGTGAGTTCGATCCTCACTGGGTTCCCCATACTTATAGTCTTGTGCCACATCTAAGCCGGGCTTAGAAAATCACTATTTGGGCAACTTGGTGTGGTGTAATGGTTAGCAAGCTTGTCTTGCTAGGTCAGTTACTACTGAAAAGTGAGTTTGATCCTCACTGGATGCCCCATACTTTCAGCCTTGTGCCACATCTAAGCTACGCTTAGAAAATCTTTACATAGGCCAAGGAGAAAAATTATCCAGGCTCTGCCTACAAAACTTGTCAGTTTCCACCAACAACACCTCTTTTATGCAATGAGGGAGGTGCTGACATAAAGTTGGGATCTTTGGGATTAGACATTCCACATTACAAAAACTATCAAATACCTGAATGCAGAAACATAGTAGCAAGAGGAAAAACAAACACTATACTTTCATACCAACCTAACTGCTGAATAAAGTCTCTTTTTAGAATTTGTACTCCTGATTTGACCAAACGTGCACTAAAATACATACAGTAAACATTTCAGTAGAGGTTTTGCTACAAATTAAGATTCCTTACAACAAATATTTCTTTACCTTCATCATCATTTGTCTGACGTCATCTATCTCCCACAGTGATTGAACCTTGTCAATGACACAGACATACAAATCTACACAATCCTGACAGGTGAGCAGAGTGTCAAGGTAAGATGTCAACTGACCTTCATGCTTCAGTGTCCTGGAAATAAAAAGAAAATATGTCATCATAACTGCAACTTTATACTAAATCAATCATCTGATAAAGAATATGCGAGTTGTGTAATTTTGATGCCAAATTAATAAAATAGAATATAACAGTAGATTTTTATTATGAGAGGTAAAGAAATTTTAAACATGTCTACTCCAAAAGAGGGTGTACACATAGTGTAGCAGTTTTCAGCATTTAAAGTTTGATTGACATGTTGATTTCAACTTCCAGCTGGGGCCATTGAATTCATTTTCACTTGTATACTCCTGGAAAGGTATGAATCTATTTCTTCTAACCACCAACAATGGATTAACTAACAGGGGATGCCAAGCTTTCTAGCTTTGGTTGTAAACCTGTCTAGGAGAAAAACAACTCTGAAATCAAAATCAGTTGGGTGCAGGATTAGTAACGCCACCTTGTAAAAACCTACTTACTAACCATCTAGTGTGGTGAGACAGTGGCCTTATAGTCCACAGGTAACTCTACAGGACAAGCAACACCTAGCATGGTGGAACAGTGTCCCTACACCTCAGATCAACAACTCAATAAAATCTATTTTGCCAAATAACTGCTAGTTTAAAATATTTTCTTAAAATAAAACCGTATATATCTATTTGTTTTTTATTTTAAGAAAAATCTTTTTATAAAATAAAAAGTCTGTTTTCATATGCAGATATCAGTGATGTATGCAGTTTCAAACTTGACATTTATAAATAAAAACTAGGCCCAATAACTCTGTAAAAGTCAGAAAGGAGAGTGGGGAGAAGGGGAAGAGAGAGTGGAGAGAAGAAAGGGAGGAGGAGAATATGGAAAGTGAGAAGAGGGCAGCTGGAAAGTAGGGAGAATAAGAGGAGGAGAATGAGAAGGAAGAGGAGGAGAGGAGTGAGAAGGAGGGGCAGGAAGAGAGTGAGGAGGGGGAGTTGGATGAGAAGAAATGGACTAAACATGGAGGAGAATGTGGAGAAAGGGGCTGAACTGAAGATGGAGAAATGAAGTGGAGGAGAAGAATGGGAGTAAAGGAGAAAAATGTGGTGAAGGAGGAAGAGAGGGCAATACACACAAGCACAGAGGATTGAAAAAAGACAAAATATTGATATTTGCAATTTTATGAGTTATTTCAACTAGTACCCACATCTTTGTTGTTTTCATGCCTTCACCAGTATATCCCTGAAGTTCTGAAATTATGTCCTGCTCTTATTGCAAAAATTATTTCAAACAATGTCAAAAAAAAAAAAAAACATAAAAAAGGATGGGCAAATGTGAAATTTTTTTTTTTTTGGCTGCTGATTCACGAGTAACTCAAGGTAGAGAGTTACAAAGATTGTGTTGTAAGAGAGAAGAAAGGATGAAGTATGAAATGAATATTATGAGGACATGGAAGAGACCAAAATTGTAGTTGTCAGGTTTGTTTGTTTAGTGGCATATCAACTTTTTATGGGTCATTTAAAGCTGAAATTTAATTTTCTTGAGAGTATTAGTAATTTCTTTTACAAAAATGTATTGCTAGTAATTTCTATTTTTTTTTAACAAAAATGTATTGCTTGTAATATTTTCCTTTTTTTTACAAAAATAATACCAGCAATGCATTTTAATGCTAGTATTATATTATTTTTTATGTATTGCTGGTAATTTTTTTTTTCAAAAATGTATTGCTGTTAATTTTTTTGCTATGAAAATGCATTGCTGGTATTTTTATACTTTCATAGTGATTTGACCCCAGCTTGGGGAGTTAACAATTTGCCTATAGTTGGGACCCTAACAGGTGCTACCAACCAGGTTCAGAGTGGACCTGGAAACAACAGCAATTACAAAGTCATTCCACACTCTTCAAAACCTCCTGATTGCTGCCAGATATAATTTATCATCATACCCAGGATGCTATAGTTGTCAGGGAAGCATCCTATTAGGAGTTTGTTCCACAAAGTAACAGCTGTATGAATGGAACTTGCTCATAAGAACATGAAAGGAACGAGGATGATTTGCCTCTTAAGAATAAGGAAATTGCAGATTTTAAGAGAGATTTTCAACTTCTGACTAAAGTGTGAATTAAAACTGAAATTACTTACCATACAATATGTCTGACCAAAACCATAATAAACAGTGGCGCACAAGTTTCTTCCGTCTGACAATGGTTTAGAATTTTAGCTTCATCTTCCATACTTAGTCGGATATCAAACAAGGCCAATTCTGCTCGTAAAAGTTCTTTGACATTTTTCTTACTTAGTGGTTCTAAATAGAGAGTAGCCCACTGCCTATAAAATAAAAAGAGAAACAAAACATCATATCAATATCTGTCTATAATTTTGAGATCAGGTATTGTAACTATTTACATCATTCGGACTGTTGTCCTCATCTTTATTACCATATACACAATGTTTGGCTGTTGTACACTCCAGCCTTCTTCAGAATCTGTCTATATTTCTAAGATGAGGTATTGTAACTATTTACACTCTTTACATACTTTGGACTGTTGTCCTCACCTTTATTGCCATATTCATAACGTTTCAACCATTGTACATGCCGACCTTCTTCAGATGATATATGGTGGAATTTTGAACCAAAGCCTTTATTTAGTTCACAGGGGTAGATTGTTCCAATTCCACATGCCATGCCTTTTTTAGATATCCCAGCATCAGTTAATTCCCTTTAGTAACTCAACTATCCAATTTCTTGTTCCCTCTGCTGTAAATATGGCAATAAAGATGAGGACATCAACAATCTGAATGCTATAAATAGTTTAAATAATATATCAGTAGTCATCTTTAAAGTTAGCTTTGCATAAAATGTACCATGAGAAAAGTACAGAAGAAACAAAAATGACTAAAGTTATTAAATTCAAGTACTGTAATATATTATTTGAATTTCTTGATAAAGCTTTATAAAGTATTATTAATTGGTGACTTGCCTTTCTTTCATTTTATTTATCTTACTTCCTTCAGTCAGCATGTAAGAGAATGTAATAGATTCAACTGGAATTCAAATTAAGCTCTCTGATTCCTCAATCCAAGCTGCTATCCATTACTCCACCGTGCCTCCAAAAAACACCCATTGGATGGTATGGGGCTTGAACCCACGACATTTGTGTTATTAGCATGGCACTCTAACCAACTGAGCTAACTGGCCTTACTTCCTTACACATAGTAATAGCAATCTTAAATTGTTTGAATTTCTTAGATCAAGTATTGCCATTATTATTCATTTTTTTTTAAATGCCAGCACTATAGCCAACGCAGACTTCTCACAGGAAAAGCTTTATCCGACTTCCATGTTAAGCTGTGAAACTATTTTTAATGATCAGATACCAGACAGTTGTACCAATAAAATGGCACTAAAGGCTAAATGAGTTGATAGTGATTAGAATTCCTTGGCTTTCCAGGTGTAATCTCATGACAAAGATCAAGGGACTTACCTCCAGGACTGTGGACAAGTCTTTTCATTAACAGAAGCAATAACATGGACACCAACAGGCAGAGGGTCAAGGAGCCACTTCAGGTGGAGTTCAGCTTGCTAACAATAAACAAAAAATAATCACAAATTGTAGCAATGAAAAGGATAACAAAAGAATTAAAAAAGAAAATGTTTGCAGTTATTTCTTTTTTTTTCTTTTTTTATATATATATATATATATATATATGAGGAGGCATGGTGGCGTAATGGATAGCAGCTCGGATTGAGGAAATGGAGAGCCAAGTTCAAATTCCAGTCAAATCCATTACATTCACTTACATGCTAATACCATTGGTATGGGAAAGGTATGAATCCTCTTCTCCCTCCAGCTATGGGTAAATAGCAGGATAGACTGGGTTCTTGGATGGCAACTGGTCTACTGCAGAAAGAAATGGCAATCTACTATGGGAAAAAAAATCTGCTTCGCCATTCATGTATCTTTCGATACATGATGGCCTAAGCGTGTATCATGCATGACACATAACTGACATATATATAAGTGTTATAAGATTGTGTATATGATGCCAACAGAGTTAAAAAAATTTTTTTACACCATTTCACCCCAAGCAAGTCGGGAGTGCCACTAGCACGCAAGGGGGTTACAGAGAGTGAAAGTAAGAGTAAAGAGGAGTGTTTGGGAAAAGGATAAAGAGAAGGACAGGGATCAAGGTCAAGGCATCAGAAGATGTTGATTGACATTACATTTGAATATTTGAAGATTATAGCTATCAAGGAAGCAAGTGATAGGAAGGGAATTCCATTGACAAGAAGTGCGAGATAAGATAAATTATTGACAATTAGAAAATGTTCATGAAAGTACTTGAAACATACACAAAAATAAACTTAAAACTCATTTTTTCATTTTCACTCAGATTAAACCTACATGGCAAAATGCATAATCAGATTTTTTTTGGAAGACACTATACTTAAATGAACGTTTTCCAATTGCCAATATATTGTGTATAGGGAAAATTAACTTTAAATTATGAATTTAAAAATTTTTTTTTATATTCTAGCCGATTTCATTTAGATTTGATTTGAACCAGCAATCTTTACTACATAACAGACAATCACTTACCAAAAATCATGAAATTGGCGCAAAAAGAAAAAATTCCCAGCATCCCTGGTTCATGCACATGTGTAGTCACACCAATGTAACAAACTTAGGCTGATGAAGTCCTAAAGCACAAAACATGTCACAAGAACTTTTTCCACTTTGTCATACATTTTTTTTTCATAGATTAGTCATTGGTAGACACAATGAATGCATAACATATAGACACAGGAATGAATAAAGTAAGAAACAAAAAGAATAAGAATATTATAGAGAATTATAAAATAATCCCCTTTTTATTCAGGTTTTCATGCATACATGCAAATTAGTGATAGTTTTAAAAGAGCTAGAACTCCATTTTAGGCTTTGAATAAAATGAATGGGCAAGACATTGTATCCTCTTAGCCTCAGTGAAGTTAGAATTTCTTGGTCCTATTTCAATCCAGATTAGACAATGGAAGATACAATGAAAGCATAACATATAGACACAGGAATGAATGAAGTAAGGAAGAAAAAGAGGAATATTATAAGTATATATAGAATAATGCTCTGAATATTATAGAATCCTGTCCATTGCTTCATAGATTAGACAATGGAAGATACAATGAAAGCATAACATGATAACAGGAATGAATAAAAAAAAGGAAGAAAAAGAGAATATTATAAGTATATATAGAATAATGCTCTGAATATTATAGAATCCTGTCCATTGCTTCATAGATTAGACAATGGAAGATACAATGAAATATAACATATCCACACAGGAATGAATAAAATAAGGAAGAAAAGAGGAATATTATAAGTATATATAAAATAATGCTCTGAAAATATTATAGAATCCTGTCCATTTTTCATAGATTAGACAATGGAAGATACAATGAAAAGCATAACATGTAAACACAGGAATGAATAAATTAAGGAAGAAAAAGAGGAATATTATAAAGTATATATAAAATAATGCTCTGAATATTAGAGAATCCTGTCCATTGCTTCATAGATTAGACAATGGAAGATACAATGAAACTCATAAATAATGGAATATACACAGGAATGAATAAATTAAGGAAGAAAAATAAAAGGAATATTATAAGAATTATATTATAGAATAATGCATATCTGAATATTAGTATATAAAATAATGCTCTGTCCATTGCTTCATAAGATTAGACAATGGAAGATACAATGAAAGCATAACATATCCACACAGGAATGAATGAAGTAAGGAAGAAGAAGAGGAATATTATAAGTATATATAAAATAATGCTCTGAATATTATAGAATCCTGTCCATTGCTTCATAGATTAGACAATGGAAGATACAATGAAAGCATAACATATAGACACAGGAATGAATAAATTAAGGAAGAAAAAAGGAATATTATAAGTATATATATAGAATAATGCTCTGAATATTAGAGAATCCTGTCCATTGCTTCATAGATTAGACAATGGAAGATACAATGAAAGCATAACATATCCACACAGGAATGAATAAATTAAGGAAGAAAAAGAGGAATATTATAAGTATATATAAAATAATGCTCTGAATATTAGAGAATCCTGTCCATTGCTTCATAGATTAGACAATGGAAGATACAATGAAAGCATAACATATCCACACAGGAATGAATAAATTAAGGAAGAAAAAGAGGAATATTATAAGTATATATAAAATAATGCTCTGAATATTTAGAATCCTGTCCATTGCTTCATAGATTAGACAATGGAAGATACAATTTCATAAAATATCCACACAGGAATGAATAAATTAAAGGAAAAAAATGAAATGAATATTATAGAATTATAATGAAAGCATAACATATCCACAGTTGGTATATATTAAAATAATGCTCTGAATATTAGAGAATCCTGTCCATTGCTCAAATTAAAGATTAGACAATGGAAGATACACAAAAAGCATAACATATCCACACAGGAATGAATAAATTAAGGACACAAAAAAGAGGAATATTATAAGTATATATAAAATAATGCTCTGAATATTTGAAATTTGTCCATTGCTTCATAGATTAGACAATGGAAGATACAATGAAAGCATAACATATCCACACAGGAATGAATAAATTAAGGAAGAAAAAGAGGAATATTATAAGTATATATAAAATAATGCTCTGAATATTAGAGAATCCTGTCCATTGCTTCATAGATTAGACAATGGAAGGAAGATACAATGAGGAAATTATATAACATATCCACACAGGAATGAATAAATTTTGGAAGGAAAAAAGAGGAATATTATAAGTATATATAAAATAATGCTCTGAATATTAGAGAATCCTGTCCATTGCTTCATAGATTAGACAATGGAAGATACAATGAAAGCATAACATATCCACACAGGAATGAATAATACTGGCAAAGGAAGAAAAAGAGGAATATTATAAGTATATATAAAATAAATTAGAGAATCCTGTGTTATATAGATTAGACAATGGAAGATTGAATGAATGAAGGAAGAAGAAGAGGAATATTAGTATATATAAAATAATCCTAGTCCATTGCTTCATAGATTAGACAATGGAAGATACAATGAAAGCATAACATATAAACACAGGAATGAATAAATTAAGGAAGAAAAAGAGGAATATTATAAGTATATATAAAATAATGCTCTGAATATTAGAGAATCCTGTCCATTGCTTCATAGATTAGACAATGGAAGATACAATTTTCCATAACATATAGACACAGGAATGAATAAATTAAGGAAGAAAAAGAGGAATATTATAAGTATATATAAAATAATGCTCTGAATATTAGAGAATCCTGTCCATTGCTTCATAGATTAGACAACGGAAGATACAATGAAAGCATAACATATAGACACAGGAATGAATAAAATAGGTAACATTATAGAGAAATTCAAAATAATGCTTTTTTTTTCGCTACATACAACATGTGAAATTATGTGTGATACCCTACCTTCATAAGCTGCAAATCAGGTTTATTTAATAAAGTTTTCAGTCTCTTATTGATTTCTTTTTTACAAGTGCAACTGAGATTTTCAATGTTGTGTTAAAAATGTTTGCTTTTGATCATTAACAAATAAACAATGCATTTAAAGAAGAAATATAATATAAAATAATGCTCTGAATAGTATCCAGTCTATCATCTCACTCATATAGAGTCAGACAGGAAGGCAAAATATATATTTTTAAAATGTTACAATGTAACATACATTGGAAATAATTTTTCCTATAGATATGCTTTATCCATTACCTACATAGTATTAATGTACAATCCATACTAAATGTTAAAAACATTCTTTAAGAGGAATTGTGGACAAAGGGGATACGCTGGAGACGGTCCGCGCCCGATAGGGGATACGCTGGAGACGGTCCGCGCCCGATATGCCCAATGAAGTTGATAAATGAATAATTATAATCAAAATTATTTCCACAGACAATATCCAGTCAATACATATTGAAAATAAATAGGAACAACTGAATTAATGAAACTTATTTTTTTAAGAATTCTGCCTGTGAAAAAATGTTAAAATTACCTGAAAGAGATCAATAGAGTCCAACACAAGCACCACTCCCCCTGGTAACCTTGAAGAAACTTTTTCCAACCACCGAGGAAATTCTTCTTCCAGACGTACCGGATTACAAGTTAAAGCTGGGGGAGATGTAACATGTTGCATTAGCTGAAAAGACATTTTAATCAAAATAACAATACCAAAAAGAAAAATCCTACAGAAATGTCATAGTGTTGTCTTTCTTTCATCTTATTTCTCTTACTTGCTTACATCTAATAGTAGTAGGTAGTAGTTTAAAATTGCATAAATTTCTTAGATGAAGCTTTGTTCTTATTAATTTTTGACTGGTCTTTCATTCTTATTTCTCTTGCTTCTTTACATGTAATTGTAGTAAACTTGTGTGAATCATACTTATTATAAAACCCAGGTTGTGTGCGTGTGTGTGTCTGTTCGTTTATATATTGGATCGGATTTCCTACATTTTTCAACCGATTTCAACAAAACTTCACAGGACTACGTAAAATTACCTTGCGGTGGTTCTGATAGCGCCAAAATTGGAAAAACACAATTGTTTTTGCACAAAATCAATTTGAAAACACAATTAAGATTAATGTCGCGAGAATGGAAGGGGGACAACTCATATCGAGTTAAAACCCAGGTTGTTTGTGTGTGTGTTCATTTATATATGGGATCGGATTTCCTACATTTTTCAACCGATTTCAACAAAACTTCACTTTTGTTTTTGGCAGGTAGTATTTCTTATTGTCTTGCACACTTTTTTCTTTATTTTTACATTCAGAATGCTTTAAAAATTCCATTTACAAGGCAATTGTTTATGATAAAATTCTATTCAATCGGTAGACTCATAACGATTGAAAACAATGTTTTTATTTGAATTTGGGTTTGACCAATTCGTAAAAAAAAAAAAAATAATAATTAAGACATGCATGTCCGTCAACCTTAAACAATACTCTTTGTCAATTTTATTTTTCAGTCTTTATGATGGTCAATACTTGATCTATCTCTTACTTTTACATCCCTGGGCAACGCCGGGCTCTACTGCTAGTTTCTTATATGAAGCTTTGCCATTATTATTCATTTTTGACTTCTCTTTCTTTATTTTATTTATATTATTGGTTTAGTTTTGATTTGAATTATATATAATCTTCATTCAAATGGTTTATTTCCTTCACCTATTCATGTATAATACTCTATGGTTTCTGAAGTGACAGCAACACGATTTGGTTGTAAAACTAGTTAAACTGGTTTCACTTTTCATTTTCTATCAATGTGTAATTCTATTTTTTTACATTGATCCACACTATATTTTATCAATTTATCTGCTTTCTTGCCACAGAATCCTGTCTGTCTTTCACTGATGCATTGTCCACTGAGTCGCACAAAATAAGGACATAAAAAAAAAAGTTTGCAAGTCTACCATTCGCCCATGCTTTAAATATTGCTTCCACATATGATCCAGTACTCTTGCTATATATTTAGAGATTCTTGATAAAATCCAAAGAAAAATCAGCAATATTATTGATCTTGACTTGGTACCTCAGCTTCAGTTACTTTCCAACCACCGTAAAGTTGCCTCCCTGTGCCTTTTCTATAAATACTTTCATGGTAGTTGTTCATATGAGCTTGTTGTAGTGGTACCTAGGCTTTATTAAGTGCAGTACTAGATTTTCAACAAGGTTTCATCAATTTACAGTTGAATTGGCTAGATACAGCCATAAGTTCTATGGTTACAGTTGCTTTTCTTGCACTTCTTGCTTGTGGAACACTCTTCTGGCTCCATGGATTGAGGTGTGAAATTAATAGCCACCATGCAGTATTATTTCCAATATCTACACTCTCTTTCTCTCCCTCTAATTAATACAAATATAAAATTTGTCACTTAACTTCTTGGTGTTAGCTTCAGCATCCTGGCTCTAGAGTTTCGTAAATGGACCCTCTAGTAATCACTCTGTCTACTCATAAGGGGATATCAGCAATTGACTGTTTATTTTCTCATTTTTCTTATATATATGCACTTTTCATTGGTGAAAAGCTTTTTCTTTCATTGTGTGGTGGGGTGCAGGTGTGCATATGTGCATTTGCATCCAGTTGGATATGCCACATGACTGAAGTCTTTCAACTGACAAATTCTGGTGGATTTGGGAGAAACTGCTGGTGTTCCGAGACTTTTTGGTGGACACATGATGACTGTTTACATAGCATGTTAGAAACTGACAGTCATGCTTGATCAGATGAACACCTGATCATGACATCATTTTATTTTTATATATATATATATATATATATATATATATATATATATATATATATGTATGTATGTGTGTGTGTGTGTGTGTGTGTGTTCAATTTTGATGGTATTTCCTGTCAATGGTGTAAGTTGATCATGATTCTCCACAGGTCATTTTTTGTTATTATCTGTGAATTGCCATAACTTCTTCTCCGTGGTTTGAAATTCAGGGTTTTCCTTCTCCTAGAATGGCTTCTAACCATGACATGTTCATTCAAGATATAGACAATCATGCTTCTCCATAGCTTCCTTCTTGGTTGATATAGAGGAGTAGTTTTCCTTTACCTTCTCCACAGTTTTAAATTCATATTTTTTTATCTCCCTTAGAATGTTTGCCACCCAAAGCTAAGAAAGCCCAATTTACCCTGCTATTTAATCCCTAGCTGGAGAGAAAGAGACAGATTCTTACTTTTCCCAAGGGCATTAGTGTGAAAGTGAAAGTAGCAAACTAACCTAGAATTTGAATTTACCTTATGCAACGATATTCATTAAACTACCTACAATCTTGTTTCTACCATCATTTAATGACTATGAAGGTTTCACTTAAGTGGATCCCTGATGATCCGCTTAGGTGAAACCTTGGTAGGTTTGTCTGGCTCTCTAGGTTTATATATATATATATATATATATATATAATTAAGGAGAAAGAACAATAAAAGAACAGAAATTAAGACAGAAGATAACAATTGGCATGGCATTTAAATTTTTGATGATCAAAGTTGATTTGAAAGCAAGAAGCCAGAAGAAAATCCCACCAATGAAAAGTGTGAGACAAAAAACTATTAGCATAGAACTTAGTGACATCTAGCCATTACAAGTGTAAATGATGGGATTTTGCTGCCAATCTAGTACTGTGCTTAAATGTATAAAATCTAGGTACCATATTTTGTAGCAAGGTTTCATCATTTCACTAAAAGGCTAGATGTAACTGTAAGTTCTATGCTAACAGTTTCTTCTATCACACTCCTTGCTTATGGAACTCTCTTCTGGCTTCAATCATCAATCATTATTTTCTGTCTTCTTAATTCTGATTCTTTTATTATTCTCACTCAGTAAACCCCTTGTGTCTTAGTGGCTTTATTGCCTTGCTTGGAGTCAAATGATTAAAAAAAAACAAAAATTCAAACTGCTCAAGCCAACCCAGGTCAAAGTTCACCCTGCCAGCTTGGCTCTCAATGTTCAACTTGCTGTAACCAACCCCATCTATATTCTGCCACAATATATAAAATCATCATTGCAAATAACGCAGAAAGTCACACAAACAGTGAGAGTTTGACAACAAAAATGAAACTTTGAGAACCAATATTTATGGGGTGGGTTTCAGCATGTTAAATGCAAAAAATTCTAGTCGTCTTTCAAAACAACTTTCATTTTGCAATTTGACAAGAAAAATTTACTCAGACCAAATATTTGTCCAAGGCTTTAAACTTGTGAAGAAGACCAGCATACCAAATCCTGTCAAATGCATCACACACACATCGACTTATAACCTTGCTAATTAATATATAAATTTGTTTAAGGATAAAATTCTTACCTGAGCTGTCAAACGTCGTATCATAAGGATAGCATCAGCACCAACAGATGATTCAGAACCAACAAAATGACACATCACAAGACTGCTTGGGTATTTCTCCTGATGAAGTTGCGTCCTAGAAAATAAGTCACAATGAAATATTTGATCAGTTCTCAAAATTTCAAATAATTCCAAATTCTGACGGTGTTAAGTAATCACAATTAACTTTTTTTTTATCTCAGTTCTTTTTAAAACTCTTTTAGAGAAGAAATAATTTCGTTATTAATTCCAGGCTAGTTTTCATTTTATTGTTGCTTTATATTACAATTTTTTTTGTCAAATATCCTCTAAACATTAAACTTGTATCCTCATTATTACTGCCTAGTTGTATGCAAAATTCATATAGTTTTTAAATAAATTTAATATTCTACAAACCATTAATGGGTGAGCTAACAGAAGAAAGGAACATTCTCCCATTTTCATTTCCCCCATTATAGACATTATCATATTCATGATGTAACAACACCTTATTTCAAGGATGGAATGAAATGGCTGAAAGAAAAGGAATAGCAGACATGCTTTGCTCTCAGAGAGAGTTATATACTGCTAAGTCATACACAAAATTATACGCGCATATTTACACATGTCCTGTGCAGAGAAAATATTACACATATCTACACAACAAGCTGCATGAAAAGGAGACAAAAAAAAAAAGAGAGCCTTAAGTGTAATAATTCCAAATAAGAATTGGATCAGCCAGAGATTCTTCAGCTATATTTTGGATTCCAAATTCAAGCAGGCTGGATTCATCTGCTTTGTAACTACTGAAAAACAGAGTCCTGGGTTTTTTCTAAATTGAGGGCAACCAGCCAGAAATATTTTCTATATATGGTGAATATTTTATTTTGTAACTCTTGTAGAGTTGAGCTAAAGGGAGATAATTGAGACATCTGGAAGAGGCATGGCACGTGGTACTAGAACAATCTACTCTGGTGGATGAAATAAAAGATGAGGACAACAGTCTGAACAATGTATACAAAAAAAAAAACTTGAGATACAATTTTTTATGAAAAAGTTCTACTTACCATTTTGCCAGTAATAAAGATCTCCCAATTCCAGAATTCCCAATAATCAACAGTGGTGGTTGTGGGCCACAGGCATGAACATGTGCATTCAACTGTTCATAATACTGAAAAAAGAAAAAAATTCTACTTGTCTCATTCTATTTTTGTTGACAACAGTATTTCTGCTATCCTATATTTCAAACTTCTTTGCAGACCAATCCTGTATATGAATACAAAATCCCACATTTCCCGTAAGAGTGAACCTAATACCTTCACCCTGGTACAAGAGTCTCATGCCTTCCCCTACCGAATCTATGAGACAGGGCCTCGACTATACTACTTCCCAATTTTCATATTTTTCCAAAATTCTGCCATAACATTGTAAGTGCTATTTTCACCAAGTGGGTAGATGGAGCTTGTGTACTAAATAAAAAAGAACAAAGTAGATGGCTGACAGGGCACAGAAGACTAATGTCATTTTTAACCCACTGTAAAAAAATTTAAAAAAAAAAAAAAAAAAGATGCCAAAATCCTCAAAAATATTTAAGATAGCAATGAACTCAAAGCACTGCCCAGGTCTCTCAATCAGCCTATGGCTCCTCTGGTTGGAGGTAGGATGTACAAGTCCTGCCCTCACCAGGTTGTCAGCCCATACTGATGTCTTAATGGAGTTACCCAAGTTGATATCCTTCTTCAGTTGTGAAGGGCTTACATCCACATCACATTGAAACACCAGTTCCTGTATGTTGATTTCAATCCATAATAACAATGCTGCAGAACACTTGCCCCTCCCCTTTTATAGGCAAAAAACACACAAATGGATTTTTTTGTTAGCCAATCAAATAGTCCAGTTTTCAGTCTGACATAAATCAGACCTGATTCTCCTTGTCTAGTAGTCAGAATACTACATTCGCTTATCCAAACTTGTGTTTGTGCGTGTCAATACCAATTCTATATGAACTTTTTGACTTTTTACTTGTTAATTTGCTTTGCATATATTGTTTGCTTGATATATATTTGTAACTTAACTTTGGAGAAGCCTAAAAGATGCCATGATGTTTCAGATAAATGAGTAGTTTGTTAGAATAAAGATGAGAATATCAATCCAACTGTGTCATAGCTAGACATAACATTTATTCCATTAACAGTGATCGGATTCAAAGAGTTTACTAAAATTACCTTGGACTTTATCTAAACCAGTAAAATTTAGGAATTATTTATTTATTTATTTTTTTTTAAAGAGAACCTCTTTTCAAATCTGACTCCCACTACTGTTTATTGCTATAACTGCTGGACCTAATCCCCTGAAGCCATATTTTTAACTTCTTGTTTCTTCTCTCTAGGTGTTCATCTCGGCATAATACAATACTAGTTACAAGTGAATCTCTCTTCTACACATGAATGCAATAGAGATTGAGTGATTGTCTTCAACATTTAAAAAAAACAAAAAAAAGGTAGGTGTTGATTTCAACCCATAATGGGAATGATTGCAGAACACTTGCCTCCTCACTGTTTATAAGCAAAAGCACACAAATGCATGCTGGGATTTTTTTTTTCTTAGCCAATAAAATAGTCCAGTTTGATATGACTCAGTCCTGATCTGTTTTGTCTAGATTGCTATGTTCACTTGTCCAAACTTGCTTTTGTGTTTCAACGCCAATTCTTAGTTTATTAACTTTTTGCCTTATTACTGTTAATTTGTCTTGCATGTATTGTTTGCTTGATATTCCCTTTTTACCCTGTTCCTTTTTCTTTTGTGTTTCAACGCCAATTCTTAGTTTATGAACTTTTTGCCTTTTTACTTGTTAATTTGCTTTGCATATTTGTTTGCTTGATATTTCATTTTTACCCTGTTCCTTTTTCTTTTTATTGCAACCTTTGTTAATTTTGTTTGTTAGTCTGTTCTTTATTTTGCATTTGACCATGACTACTCACTCCACATCATACAATCACTGAAGTAACATCAAGCTTGGTCAAGATGGGTGGCTGCTTAGGAATACCAGGCGCTGTAAGCTTGGATGTGTGGGTGATTTAATAGATAATAGCTTGGGATTGTTAATGAAATAGCTGAGTTTCAATTCTCATTGGGTTCATTATATTCACTTGTGCGCAAATACCCTTGGGAAAACTATCCACCATTTCTCCCTCTAGCTATGGGTTAATTAGTAAGACATATCACTAAATCTATATTATCTCAAGAAAAAAAAAATTCTTGCAATCTAAAAATATTTTCTGGCTTTAAATAACCTGCAAAGTGTTGATATGCCATAGAAATCAAATCAATCAAGTAAATACTGATTGGCTTCACAAGCTTGTCTTTTTGATTTAATTACATTCTCTTGACATTATTTACATTATTCGGACTATTGTCCTCATCTTTGTCACCATATTTATTACAACGTTTCGGCCGTTGTACACTCCAGCCTTCATCAGGTGGTTGGAATGTCGAACTGAACCCTTTATTTTGCTCACTGGGGTAGACTGTTCTAATTCCACGTGCCATGTTTAATGGATGTCAGTTATCAGTTACCTCCTGTTAATTTTCCCTCTGAATATAAATAATTTATAATTTTTCCCCTCTTGAATATAAATGCATAGAAACTAACTGTGGCCACAAAATGAGGGATTAGTTTATATATTTATTGTAATATAGAATTGATCTCCTTTTTTATATCCACATTTTAATTTCTTGTTTATCAAATTCTGATTAGGTTTGAATCCACCACTTCTACCCCCAGCTAATATTAGTAAAACTTGTATCACTAAATCATTATCACCAAAAAAGGATTTCTTACAATCTAAAAATATTTAAATAACCAGTAATGGGTTGATAAGTCAGAGAAAACAAATCAATCAGTCAGTAAAAGCAAATCACTTTTGTTCAAAACAGAATAAATATGAGGTCACACCAGCTGATGTTGTTTCCTTTTCTTATTTTCATAACAATTGATCCTAAAAGGAGGGATGGAATGGACAATGGGATATATTCAATATACGATACTTACTATATGAGGCTTAGACAACCTCATTCAATTTTATGTTCATGTCATATGTGACACTTCAGTTTTACTAATGATCTGCATACAAGTTTATATATTAAGCAAGCAACAGTGAGGATCTTTTGACATAGCAACAGGAACATTTGCTGACACTTTTTGCTGTTGTCAGTCATCTCTTAGCTAGTCAATACAATGGATTTCAAAATCACTGTGGATAATGCCTCTCACATCAAAGAATGTGATCAGTCCTTTTACTTTTCAAACAGACATTATATATATGTGTGTGTGTGTGTGTGTGTGTGTGTGTGTGATAGACTCTCATGACAATTTTGATGTATGAGGATCCAACAACCTCATTCAATTTTTATGTTTGCGCCATATGTGTCACTTCAGTCCTGCTAGTGATCTACATACAAGTCCACCTATTGTGCAACAGCAAGAATCTCAGGACATAGCCACATTGCTGACATTTTTTTGCCTTTGCCTTTCATCTCTTAGCTAGCCAATACAATTGATTTTAAAATGTCTGATACCACTCTGGCACAAATATCTCCAGTTATTTCTATCCAGGACAACTCCCTCAAAGTTAGTATGAGGCACATTGACAGCTGAGGAGTTACACTTTAGCTTGTCTTTATACCTGAGCTACAGCCGTCCAACAGTCCTTTGTCCACTGCCTAGCTAGCTATACATGAGGACCTTAGGTATTCTGTTGTTACTAATCCTTGCAACTGATATATGAGATAAAAGCATATAAATTTTTATATATCAAGAACAATATTAGTAGAAAAAAAATGTATGAAAAAATAAAAAAAAAATTTCATGTGACACATTTATTTTTAGTCCAATGAAGTTCTAATGAATGAAAAGCATCACATGAAAACTTTTTTACCACTTTGTCATACATTTTCCACCCAATATATAAGTGTGTGTGGTGAAAGTACTCAGAAATAAATACAATATGGACTAACACAGCGTTTTCCTCTCATCTTTCAATAACCACACAAAAAGCTCATTTGTGTGTATGAAAGGATACTATCGAGAATAAGTACACAGAATATGTCTAAATTATTTAACGAAACCTAACTTAATATATGTGTGTGTATGTGTGTATAGTGGCAATTCGGGGAGGGGGTCTGTCTTAGCCAAGTAAGTAATGAAAATCTTTTATAGTATGTTGTTTTCATTTTTGACTTCAGATGTATCCAAAATTATTTTAACTCCATGCCTCAAAATATTGACTGAATGAAATACATTTCGTTGATATTGTTCATAATAAAGAAAAAAAGAAAAAAAATAAACATGGCTAAGTCAGTCTTTTCAAACTTCAAACTTAATAGGCAATGTATTTCTTGCATTAATTCTATGATCTTTTTAAAATCTGCAATGACTTTTATGCCCTGTTTTTCAAAGAACACTTTTTTTTTTATTTCAACTTATTGTTTTCAAATATCCATTTTAAATAATTTATTCCATACAGTATTAGGTTTTTTAGTAGAATGTATCAATTGAAAAGTCTGGCAAATGAAATTTAGCCCGACCTAAAGTCGGCAAAAATCAAAGAAAGTGGCAGTCTTAATTTGTTGACTTGGAGGGTTGGGATGAGGAGTATGACTGGGGTAGTGTTGTGAAAACATGATATCAGTCAGCAGTAGTGATCATAAATGTACAATAAATTAAACTAAAAATTCACAGACCAAGAAATACATAAACACACACCCAAGTTACACATGTTATTTTCTTACATATCTGGAATTTTTTTTTAAATAAATGTTTATTCTTATAGAATCATTACAATTAATATTAAAATACCAAAATAAGTTTTTTTTTAAAATTCATGCACAGATTTTTTTAAATTATATATTTCAGTTAGAGTAAAGGATCATTTTAGCATCAAGTCATACCATTAGTATATTTTGTTAAACATTGTAATGAGTCTGACAAACATTGATGACCTAGAGTCACCACTGATATATAAGAATTATATTTGTAAGTTTTATATTTGAAAATGAGATATTACTTATAAATATAATTCTTACAGTGTAAAAAATATTTTCTGGCTTTAAATAGCTGCCAATGGGTTGCTAAGCCACAAAAAACAAATCAATCCAGTTGTGATGATGTTTTGTTGCTTTACTTATTGTTGACCAATACCTATATTGAATTCAATCAATTCGTTTGTTCAATCCCTTTTTGGAATCAATGTTTAGAGAAAGGATATGATAGAAACTGAAACAATATTGACTGCTGTTGCCGGGTAGAAGTATTAAATTTGCCTGTGTGTACTGCCAGTTAACCATGATATATTGAATTCAATATATGTATTGGTTGAAGGAATGGAACAAGACAACTTCACAACTGGATGGACTGAATCATTTTCTACAGTTTATCAACCTTTGTAGGTTATTTAAAACCAAAAAATATTTTTAGGTTTTAAGAATTTTTGCGGGAGGAGATAATGATTTAGTGATAAAAAAAAATGAGTCAACTGTAGTCAGGATCATCGAGTCAACTGTAGTCAGGGTCATCAAGTCAATGCAAGCAATCCTTTCATTTAGCTGCATAGTACGTGCTTCACCAGGGACACATACACTTTTTAATTCAGAGTTTTTCATTCTCCTAGGCCATATAGAACCCAGTCTTCCCTGCTATTTACCCATAGCTGGGAGAAGAGTTGAATTCATACCTTTCCCAAGAGTATTAGCCTGTAAGTAAATGTAATGAACTCAACTGGAATTCGAACTCCAATTCCACAATCCATTACTCTACTGCACATCCACTTTAGTGATACAAGTCTTACTAATTAACCCATAGCTGGGGGAGAAGTGATGGATTCTTGCCTTTCCCAAACATCCAAACTTACAGCATTTGGTATTCCCAAGCAGTCACGCATCTAGATTTTGACCAGGCTTGACATTGCTTAACTTCAGTTCAGGTACAAGAACTGGTATGTCAACATAATATTGCTGTAATCCCTTTATTTCTTTTATCCCTTTACTGGTTTTCAAGACAGTAACAAGAATAGGTGAGGAAGGTTACAAAAGTTGGTTGGGTTTAAGGCAGAATTGAAAGAAAAGAAATTCCCCTTTGCACACACCTAACAATTGCTTGAAACTCTAGTTGGGACACATTACATTAGGTTTTTAAATGAAGGTTTAATTTTCATGAATCCTTTTGACTATATTTTTAATTCCAGAATTTCTTTATTAAGTAGGATTTTGTGGACATGAAAATGAGACTAACCTCAGTTCTCGGCATAAGAGGGTTCGTTTGTGTCTGGCGTGTAGGGGTAATTGGTCGAAAAAGAAACACCACCATTACGGTGAGTCGAACTTATGGAAACGCTGTATCCAATATATTTAGGATTGGTGAGAGGAGAACTTGGGCGTATGCAAATTGGTTGGTGGATTGCTGGGATAAAATGTGACGGCGGGGAGACCACTTCGAGAGAGTTGTTCTTTTGCCAATTACTAGACGGTGTTAAACATTTGAGTGCAAAGATCTGTAACCAGAATTGTAGCTGGATTTAGCTGTCGTGAATTCTGAGGTGTTTCGGTGGTGTTTGCGGCAGGAGGTACTGCCTTACTAGGCTGGGCTTGGGCTGAACGTGGCACCCCAAATAATGAAGACCATCGTCAACGCTGTGTTGTCACAGGAAGAAACAATAAAGACTTGTTTCCAAATGTACCTTGATGATATATATATGAATTTTGCGTTTTGTCGTCATCACGTGAGGTCCAAACTGGCTGAGTTTGGTCTGACTTATAAGGACCCAGAACGTTTGGAGGATGGTGCCCGTGTCTTGGGCCTGAAGCGTTCAACAGGAGTGAGAGTTTTAAAATGGGGGCCGGAAGTAGGCGGTGCCGGGCCAACCCGTTCCCGTCCTATTGTTTGGACCTAATTTTACGAGACCAACCCGTTCCCTTCCTATTGTTTGGACCGAATTTTGCGACAGATTTTTAAGCTAGTCTCAAATTCTTCTGACCTTCAATTAGATCCCTTTATTTACAAATGGCTCAAATGATCTCTTCTATCACCAATGTGTCCCCTCAGGACACAGGCAATTGTCTACTCTCAATTCCAAATCATGGAAAAGGCAACAGGAAACCACTCCACTATCTTCTCCAAGATATCATGTCTTCTTCTATAAGCCATGTCTCTTCAGGATGTTAGTGACCATGGCTCTCCACAATTTCCTGTCCTTTCTAGCACTTAGTAAATTTTGTCTTTTTACTAATCTCTCCTAAACCCTGTTCTGCCATCAATTTACACAAGCTTGTTAGGCATGTTATTTGCTGCTTTCCTCTTGCCTTCAACATGCCCTGTAGGCATCAAATTTTCCAAGCCCTCTTTCTTCATTAAGTGCCTTGGAAATGTTCTCTCTTTCTGTTTCCAAATATAAGTGTCCTCTTTGTTTCCATTTTCTCTAAATCTTTGTCATTACTCACATGTTCAGTCCATGGTATTCTTAGGATCATTCTGTTACCTCAGTTCTTCATCTGTGAGAAGAAATTGTCCAGCATTCACTGCCATATAAGAGGGCTGATATTACGTAACAATTCAGTACTCTTTTCCTTGTTTTTATTATTTATGATCTGATCTGGCATCTTGGCTTCAGTCAATTTCCCACCACTGTAAGATTGCCTCTCTCTGCCTTTTCTATAAATACTTTCATGATAATGGTACCTAGACTTTTTTAATTTAAGCACAGTACCAGACTGGCATCAAGATCACATCAATTTACAGCTGAGATCACTAGATGTAGCTTTAAATTCTATGCTAACAGTTTTTTTCTCACACTTCTCGCTTGTGGCTCTATGCTTTCCAGCCAACTTTAATCTGCAAAAATTTAAATGCAATATTCTCCTGATTCCTCTTTCCTTTTCCCGCTCATTATTAATCTTTCAATTCCTGTTATATACCGTACCTATAAATACCAATGGGTATGTCCCAATCCTCATAAATATGTAGGACATTATTGTAAGTGGGGGTAATATGCTGTCTAAGTAGTCCACCACTAGCAGTGGTTTACCTACTTCATGGCACTGGCAAGTATTTTACTGATGTTATAAAGACTACCATTTCATTTACAACCTCTGTTTTGATAATCCTCATTTAGTAACACTTTCTAGGTTACAACAATTCCTAATCTTCTATACCCTATAACCTCTTGTGCCTTAGTGGCTTTACTGCCTTGCATGAGGTGATGCTGATTAAAAAAAAAAGTCTATGGAATAAATCCTCTACCCTACTATAATCCTCTACCTCTAGTGGCTCTCGGGCCTTGTACAAGGTGACCCTCACTGTAAAAAATTAAAGATGTCTTATATTTTACTTTCATTTTTCAAATTGGTAAGACAAATAAATGTCAGAAAATAAACCCTTTATTTCACTCACTGGGGTAGTTCTTTATTTTTCTAGTTCCCATGCCATGTTTTAATGGATGTCACTTATCTCATTTAATTCCCCTCTTCAAGTTCTTGAAACTGCCTTAATTTGGGAATATTTAAAACATGGCATGTGGAACTAGAACAGTCTACGCCAGTGAGCAAAATAAAGGGTTCAGTTTAACATTCCAACCACCTAAGAAGGTATAAATATAAATACAATATTTGAAATGTTGTAATAAATATGGTAAACAAAAATGAAAGGACAAAAAGTCCAAATAATGTAAAAATAAATTAAATAAATATTTTACTAACTTCCCATACTATGAAGAAACAATTAATAATTATTTTCTAACTGAATGTCTTACTCGATTTCCCATTCTATTAAGAAAAAATTAAATTTTATTTTATAATTGAAGAAATGTCTTACTTGACCTCCCATACTATGAAGAAATAATTAAAAAAATTCAGTGTACCTTTTCAAATCCCAGCTCACAACTGGAAGAAAGAGCTGCATTCAGGGCCACCATATGTTTTATTTATTATCATAAATAAAGTGGACAGGGATGATAAGGCAATTTCCAAAGAGTTGTTCTGGGCCTTCTAGCTCTGAATAACCACAGTCATTTTCCTGTTTTTCCTTTCTTGCATCAATACCAAGTTCCTGAAAAAAATAAATTCTTTCCGGATATTCATTGATTGAAGTCAACTTCAGCACAAAGTCATGTACATGCAGCATGCAATTTGATTTGTTTTTTACAGCTTATCAACCCTTAGTAGGTTATTTAAAAAAAGAAAATATTTCTAGATTGTAAGAATTTTTTTCAGCGATAATAATGATTTAATGATACAACTCTTATTAATTAAATCATAGCTTAGTGGGGATAAAAGGTGGATTCATATGTTTCCCTTTGGTATTTGTGCATTAGTGAATATAAGAAACCCATCAAGAATTAGAACTTGACTCTCCTATTAACAATTCTGAGTCATTACACCACCCACACATCCAAGCTTATAGAACTTGGTATTCTCAAGCAGTCACCCATCTAAGTACTGACCAGACTCCACATTGCTTAATTTTAGTCATCATACAGGAACTGGTGTTTCAACATGATGAAGTTGGAAAGCATGTAGGATGCAAGTTTAGGGATACAGTCTTTTATCCGAAACCCTAGATAGGACACTTTTCCAAAATTTTGATTCTTTTTCATTTCAGGATGAAGGTACAAGTTGGGATATGGGTTAAATAAAATTGATATTAAACTTGGTTCTTAACATTCAGTTAAATAAAATATTCTCAGAGAAGGACATTTAAATAAACCCTTCAATAAAAGCTTTTGTTTCTCAACCAGTGCACCTAAAATAAAGAAAATTAAATGTGAAAAGGTATGCCCTTTTGAACAAAAATTAATAATTTATTAATTATTTTATATCTAAAAAAAAAAAAAAAATTTTTTTAAAGAAAGCTAGAGATTTAAAAATTTTAATGGCTTCCATGTTTTTTAAAATCATTGTCATTTGATATTTTAAACAGATTTTTAAATTTTTAATCTTTAAGAAGTGGATAATAATTTTCTTTTTTTTCCTCGATGGATTTAAATTGTTCATTATTTTTAAACTGGGTGGTCATTTTTACTTGCTAAACAAATAAATATTTTTTTCATTGTATTTTTAATAAAAAGATACAGTGGCACCAGATGAAAAATTTTCAAGTCACCATGTCTGACAATAACAATGATCCAAAAGAATACCCTCTCTCCTCATGTCAAGATTCGGACATACAACAGATGGGTCTCCTCACTGGACACAAGAACCAAAAACTAAATGATATCTCTGAAAATTATAATTCAATGGCTATCAATTTTTAGGGTGGTCTCACTGAAATTCCTTCTTGGTCGCATGCATGGCTCAGTTTTGTTTATCTTTTAGAATTCTGTTTTCTTTGCTGTGGTCACTATCTGATCATGACATTGATTAATTCTGACAGAATCCGAAATCTGGTTTTCTCTTACAGATTTTCTGTCTTCTGTAAAAAAAGTATCTTTCCTCGTAAATGAAATAAAATTTTTTCCCATTCATTTTTTTTTGTTAAAAAAAAAATGTAAATTCTGAGATCTTTCTTTGATTTTCTTTTCTTGTGAAACAAGTATTTAATTTTTTTAATTTCTATTAGACTTAATTAGTTACCAATTACCATAATTAAATATATGTTAAACTAATTAATTAGACAAATGACCAGCCAAGTGTGATGCATACTAATTGCTGAAGAAAAAGGAAAGTTAACCCAACAAACATCTCAGTGTGGAACAATGGTGATGCAAATCATTATGACAATGTAGTGAGTTCAGTCCTTACAGGGTGCTTCACAATTGTGGTCTTTTGCCAGACTAAGCAAAAATGACCAAATTCCTGAAATTCTGTCAAAACCAGTTACAGAAACTTAAATATTTTCAAATTCAGATTTGTCAGGTGACAACTTACCTGTCTAAATTTTGAAAATGATTTGAAAAAATTTAATAATAAAAACATATTTGAATTTATCATCCTTGTTTGATTATGTTTTGCCATATTTATAAATATAAACAATTTTGATAAATATGGCAACAAAGATGATGATGATAGTCCAAAACCATAAAATGTAAATAAAATTTTATAAATAATTTTCAATATTTGTTCAATTTCATTTGAAATGCATCTCAAATAATGAGAAAACATATCTTAACCATCTAAAATCTGAGCATTGGAAGACTGAAGAACTTGGTTGTTGATTTTGTACAATTCAGAATCATACCTGAAAAATAAATTAATAAATAAAAAGTAAAGAGGTGTCTGGCTGAATTTCTGGGATGAGTAGTTATCATTATTTACTAATATCCTCATCTTTTAGAAAATTTTAATTTTTTTTTTGAGCCCTCTAGCCTGTTTCAGGTTTATAAAAGAAAGCAACCATCAGGGATATTTTCAATTTATGGTAAAAATTTTTTAAAATTTTTCAATTTCAATTGTTCAACAGTCCATGTAGAAAAAACAAAAACATCTTGTCCTTATTTAGTCTTTTATTGGGTTATTAATTTTTTATGTTTCCACCAATCAATAGTTCTTATAAAATAAACTGAACTCTTTATTTAATCTCTGGGGTCAAATTGTTCTTGTTCCACAGTTCATGTTTGAGGATATCTCATCTTGTTCTTATTTAGTACTGCTCAGTTATTGCTCACCATTGTTTCCACCAATAAATTCATATTAGAAAAAAAAATTTAAGGATTTAATCTCTGCTTTTTGTTCTTGAACCCTTTAATTAATATTATATTTATAAATTGTTCTTGTTGAACAGTCCATTCTGGGATTATCTCATCTTGTTCTTATTTAGTACTGCTGAGTTAAATTCTGTTGTCTGCACCATCGGGAAAAAATCTGAGACAGAAGGACTGAATACATAATTACTATTTCCATTTTATGGTGCCATAGTAATTATTTTTGATCAATTCCTGTATCAGGTAATGTAAACTTATAATAGAAACAGATTGATTAAGAAAAAATTTTTTACTAAAAAGAAAAAGATGAGAATAAAAATTAATAAAATCTATTAAATAAATTTGAAAACAAAACAATATATGAAAAAACATTAAAATTTTATTTTCAAGATATTTTTTAATAAAGATTCTATTTTTTTGACAAATCCAAAATACTAAAATTCATCTATTAAATTCATTAAGAAATGATTTGAATTATATGGAAAAATAGAACCTATAAATATTTTAAAAATTTTTTTGTAGAAAAAATCCATCAAACTTTCAGACATCTAATGATTTTCATGTAAAAATTACAGCCATTTTAAAATTTGGTTGATGAATGACTTGAAATAATTACTATTATAGGAGCCAGTTTCCTGATTGGGGTCCCCAAACATGCTTTGTGATTTTAAATCTGCTCATCAACATTTGCTTTTTTCTCTACCTACATTTATATACGTTAAAAATTAAACTAAGCACAGCTGACTATTAAAGGATGAAACATTTTCATGAATTTTGACATCATTCTGGGCATTTTTCTTTTTTTTTTTTTGTCCAAATCCATGAATTTGTTTTACTTAAACATTTTATAAAATTCACTATTTTTTTCATCCATAATGTTGAATGTGTTAAAATTATTCAACTTTTTATCAAGAAAAGTTAAAAATTGCCAAAGAACATTGTTGATTTGCTTAAGATGGAATGATCTATTATGACGTGTCTCTAATTCATATTTAGATACATTGTATTTATTTTCAATTTTTCTAGTTGAATTGTTCACCTATATTGCATATGATCCATTCATTATTGTACATAATTAGGTTACAATAAAATTTGTATTTTATATGAATACTACCTTATGAAAATTGAGATGTAGTAGATTGGGGATTTATATCATAGATTTGGATCTATTATGAAGACCCTTGCATTTGTATTTAGACCACTGTATGGAATAAAAATAATTTTCTAATTAAATTTATTTTAAATTTTAAAATAAAACAAATATCATTATTGTTGAGAATATAATAGAATTTTATAGAAATTAAAATTCCAAATTTCAAAAGCACTTACATAAAAATTTAAAAAAAATTTTCAAATCAAAATTAATTTCATTTGACAAAAGGACTTTGGATTATTTTTTTCTCCCTTGAAAGTTTTTTTATTTTCAATCTGAGGCTTCATTTAAAAAAAACTTTTTGTATCTTTATTTTTAATTTCAGTTATTTATACTTTTTATTCCTTCAAATTTTGATTCTACCCCAATTATATTTAAAGTTGATTAGCTTTATTAAAAACTTGAATTTACATAAAATTAATTTAAAATTTGAAAAATTGAAAATTGAATTGAAAATATTCATTTGGAAAAAAGGTTGAAGGAAGAAATTAATGGTTTTTAAAAAGAAACCCAATAAAAGAAAGATAAAAAAATGGGAATTAAATTTTTTTGAATCAGAAAAAAAAAAATTAAAATTAATGAAAAATTTTTATAAAAAATTTGAAAAAAATTATCATCTAATCTAAAAAAAATTTCAGGATTTTTCAAATGAAAAATTTTTTTTATTTTTAAATTTTTTTAATTTTTTAAAATTTTAAAAAAAAATAAAACATTGATTAAAAAAAAATTCAATTTGCACTTTTATATTTTTCAACAATTTTAAGGAAAAAATTTTACAAAATTAAAAGCAAATAAAAATGTTCCATCAAAAAAATTTTTTAAAATGTTTATAATTCAATGTTTTTAAATTTTCTAAATTTTTTAATTTTAAAATTGTTTTTAATATGAAATGATAAAATAAATATATAAAAAATTTATTTAAAATTTTTTAAACTTAAAAAAAAAAAAAAAATAAAATTTTTTAAAAAATGGTTGTTTTAAAATATTAATAATTTAAAAAATAAATAAAAAAAAAAAAAATTTTTTTAAAAATATTTTTATTAATAAAAAGATAAAAAAAATTTTATGCAATGCTTTTTTCTGATTTTTTACTTCAAAAAAAAATTAAATTTTATAAATGAAA